TGCACATTGCGCACATGTACCAGACGATGCGGTGGGTGCGTGGTGATCTAGCTGGAGTAAATGGTCTCGCGTAGCTGCTGCATGTACGCGTACGACGCGCGCTGATGTTGGCGGTGTAGATACAGCAGAGGCAGCACCATCATAATCCTGATAGGTGCTGGCAGCACCATCAAACACCAATTCGTGACAGCTTACTCCCGGAAGCGCGGCTTTCTCACAATCAACGTCGTTTGCACTCGCTCCAGGAACTCCGCCGCTACTACCACGTACATCATCTGCCGCGTTGAGACCAACATCGCCAGCCCCACATATATTAACGTTGTTTTGGTCGACATCAATTTCGTCATCGGGTCGCCTGGACAGGGCACCATCCGTATCACCATCCTCCACTACCAATGTCCGCCGATAGTGCTCCAAAAGCGCTCGTTCACCCAGATAATAGTCGATACCCTCTGTTCCATTCGAGTCACCACCGGGACGGATATAGCGGTACAGATCACTCAAGCTTCGCCCTGTTGGACGCTTTGAACTCCAACCAGCCGCACTTAGAACTCGCCAAACAGATCCAAACATCGCATGGTCATCCGCGAGGTCTGTATGCCGGTGGATACGCGTCAATATGATACCTTGCTCGAGCGCTAGGTAAGCAACGGATCGTACCTAGACCGGTGGGAGCTGAAGGTGAGATACGACCCGAGCGTCGTGATTGTTGTCGCTTAGCTGTGGGCTCGCAGGTGCTCGACCGCTGCTTCCGCTTTCGTGGCATTGGGTATGTGGTGGTGGACGAGCTCAGCTAGCGTACCAGTGGCTCCTTCACGGCAAAGATCTCTAACTGGTTTGCATGCATCGGTCTCGCTTGAGCCATTGGACCGAATATATTGTTATTTGTATGGCCATGTTCGAAGTGTTCAAAGGGACCGAACGTACTAGGCTTTGTATGGGGTGGTTCGACTCATCGTTGTATGTGATGTTAGTATGGTGGAGTTTGAACCCACCGGTGCAGGTTCAATGCCCGCCATGCGGAATGCAGCGTAGCTGTGCTGACAAGGTACCGTGCAAAATGCATCGGATATCGAGTGCGGGATGAATACAGTGTAATTACACAGAGTCATGAATAGTACGAGTACTCAAAGCGTTCAACGGTAACATACGGTACTTAGATTTACTCCAGTATTGCTACCAAATGTAAGTGCTGTAGCGGCTTCGGCATCGTCTCCACAGTTACGTTGACCCATGCAAGCCCCATAGTGACGGTCCGAACTACGGTACACGGCGACAGTGGTGACGCCCATCGTAGATACACTGCTGCCAAGTGCCAATGCCGCCTGCGTGTCCCTGTCGCTGGGCAAATTGGGCGCTTGCGACGTCGTCGTCATGGCGACTTCAGGCTCCATCTTGACCCCCGATGGGACTCGAACGCTCCATTTCTAGCGGTAGCCTCTCTTGATCTTTGTCGCCGGTGGCACCCCGCTCCCTCCTGAGGCATCTACGTGCGGTTGTCCGTCGATGAGGATCGCTGGAAGCGAAAAGGGCGGGAGAACGCCGTCCACCTGCAGGTCTAGTGGGCAGTCGTCCAGTGCCGCCTCCGACGCTCCATCTCGGGGTCCTGTAGCGGAATCTCGGCGTCTCGCAGCTGAACGTGGTTGACAGCCACACCCGGCGGCAATGCCGTGAGGAGAGTTGGGGACTACGGGACAAACGACACCATCCCAGCGCCAGTTCTAGTAGCACTGCGTTATCGACAACAAATGCGCTGTTGCGGCGGTTGTGCGGGACATGGTCGTCGGGTGGGTACACGACGGACAGCGAGTCCAACTTCATGCCCGGTGCGTCCCGAGGTCAGCGCGTCAAGTAGCACAGGCGGTCAGCAGCAGCAGATGCGTCGACACACAGGAGCTGAGCGTGTGGCGACTCCAACGACGCTGGACTTGGAGAGTGAGGGGCGAACTGGCAGGCTGGACTTGACCGCAGCGTGCATAGTATCACGGGCAGCCACGCGCCGTAAACGATGGGTACGGCCAGCACATGTGTACCACCGTCGTTCGAGGCGTGGAAACCGGAAGAACGGAGCGTGGTCAGCCAGGGACACTTGGGATCGAGCTTGCAAAATCGGAAATGAGCTCCGATGCGAGAAGGTCATTTTGATTCGGAGCAAGCCGATCAAGCCGACCAAACAACAGTGGATCGATTTGAACTAATTCCACCAATCACACTTCTTGTTGAACTTTGGCAGCCAATCACTGTCATCGATTTTTCGGAGACAGGTTTTGATTGGTCAAAGCGAAGACATGGAAAAAAATGTCAGCGCGGGAAAGCTTGAAAAGATCAACCAAAGCAAAATGGGCACCAAAAAGGCGAGCCTTTACATGTTGTGTAAACCACTTCAAATACCAATAGTCTATTTATGTGACATTATGTATCGCGACCGCTCTACCCGTTCTCCCTCGCCGAAACGCCCTACCATCGGCATTCCCCCAATCATGGTCTTGATGGACCTGGTCGGAAACGTCTCCGCCGTCGGCGACACGGATGCGATGGTGGCGGGCGACTCGGGCAGCAAGCACAACGGCGGCCGCAGCGCCGCCGTGTGTGCCGTCAACAGCATGGTCTCGGAGGCTTCCGCGGCGACCGTGGCCGTGTTGGATGTGATCGGGGGCGTCTCCGCTAGCATGGTCACGAACGCGACGGTGGCATTCGGCTCGGGCAGCGAGCGCAACGACAGCGGCAGTCCGCACGCAGGTTGCCGCCGGTAGTAGCGTCAGCGGCGTCGCCAGCGACATCGACAGCAGATTTTTAGGCGTGATGGAGGTGACTCTGACCTTGGGGGATGCGGTCAGAGCTACGATGTCCGTGCAAGACGTTGATGTAGATGTGTACAATGGCTGATATATGTTATTGGCTCTACAGGTAATGAACAGTGGGATGAACATGTCTGACAAACGAAGTATATTGAATGTCCCTTTCCATTCTGCGCGAGGTACTTAGATGTAGGGCTCTACAACCCTGGTGTACCAGTATGCGTGATGAAGCTGGGAAGACCAAGACACTTGAACGTCGATACGCTGTCGGGGCGTCCAGACAGAACAGAAGTTGCGCGGGCAGGTTGGGCGGTGCCGGCCGCAAATTGTTGCCATGACAACGACGTGGACCAAACCTGCTGCTGAAGATGCAAAGTCCTCCAGCGCCGCAAAACTTGTAGGCTCGAAAACGATATTGTTCGCAAATAAAACACTGCACCCGTCAATATCCTCGCGTACGGCTGGGCTCATCGCTCTGAGGTCGGCCTCGTGAATCGTGACCTTGGATAAATTCGGGAAATCCACGCGTGCGCCACGAATCAGCAGTTTTGACATGTTTGCCAAGTTTTCCTGGAACTCAATCCCGATGCATCTCCCAACACAAGTCTCCAATGCCACTTGTGCAACCACGTTGCCGATCCCAGATCCAAAGTCAACAAAAGTTTCGGCGATTGTAAGCGTTGGAATGACTGCCAGTATTGCTGAAACCCCAGTTGGCGAAATCTCACCAGCATGACAATCCGGCGCATGGACGGGTTGACGCAAGGCCGAGGCATACAAACTTGACACAGCGTCATGAACGTTGCCAACATTATCGGGAGCGCTCAACTTGTAGCCACCACTAAGCGCGTCCGTGCCGATTTTTGATCCCGAAATCTCCTTGGGAAAGAATCTAAGCTCACGCCGTGTGTCCTCTTCAGCGTCTTTAGACGAATCTGCAGCTGTCGCTGTGTCTTCCCGCAGTATGGCATCCCCAACCAGACAGTCCGCCAGTTAATTCGGCGGCCTGCATCAACCTGCTCCTTTGCCAGCCGATAAAGCAGCAAGTCCTCTTCGTCCGAGAAGTCTGCCATCGGGTTGCCACGAGATCTAGAAATCTATAATGCCATACATACCATAAGATATTTGGTCTCATACTTCTTCGCCTGATAACCTACCGACCTTTCACAAAGGTCCCATCCCCATCAATGTACTCAACACCAGGTTCAAGACACTCCTACCGCCAGCAAGGCAACTAAGCCCGGCTATCGATGCCGCTGCTATAAACGCTCTCGTGGCGCTGCCCAGCCAACACGAAAGCACCCCTATTAGCCTCATCGACCGCGCCGAATGCCACCGTCACGTTCGTGACCATGCCAGCGGAGACGCCCCCGATCCCGTCCAACACGGCCACGGTCGCCGCGGAAGCCTCCGAGACCATGCTGTTGACGGCACACACGGCGGCGCTGCGGCCGCCGTTGTGCTTGCTGCCCGAGTCGCCCGCCACCATCGCATCCGTGTCGCCGACGGCGGAGACGTTTCCGACCAGGTCCATCAAGACCATGATTGGGGGAATGCCGATGGTAGGGCGTTTCGGCGAGGGAGAACGGGTAGAGCGGTCGCGATACATAATGTCACATAAATAGACTATTGGTATTTGAAGTGGTTTACACAACATGTAAAGGCTCGCCTTTTTGGTGCCCATTTTGCTTTGGTTGATCTTTTCAAGCTTTCCCGCGCTGACATTTTTTTCCATGTCTTCGCTTTGACCAATCAAAACCTGTCTCCGAAAAATCGATGACAGTGATTGGCTGCCAAAGTTCAACAAGAAGTGTGATTGGTGGAATTAGTTCAAATCGATCCACTGTTGTTTGGTCGGCTTGATCGGCTTGCTCCGAATCAAAATGACCTTCTCGCATCGGAGCTCATTTCCGATTTTGCAAGCTCGATCCCAAGTGTCCCTGGCTGACCACGCTCCGTTCTTCCGGTTTCCACGCCTCGAACGACGGTGGTACACATGTGCTGGCCGTACCCATCGTTTACGGCGCGTGGCTGCCCGTGATACTATGCACGCTGCGGTCAAGTCCAGCCTGCCAGTTCGCCCCTCACTCTCCAAGTCCAGCGTCGTTGGAGTCGCCACACGCTCAGCTCCTGTGTGTCGACGCATCTGCTGCTGCTGACCGCCTGTGCTACTTGACGCGCTGACCTCGGGACGCACCGGGCATGAAGTTGGACTCGCTGTCCGTCGTGTACCCACCCGACGACCATGTCCCGCACAACCGCCGCAACAGCGCATTTGTTGTCGATAACGCAGTGCTACTAGAACTGGCGCTGGGATGGTGTCGTTTGTCCCGTAGTCCCCAACTCTCCTCACGGCATTGCCGCCGGGTGTGGCTGTCAACCACGTTCAGCTGCGAGACGCCGAGATTCCGCTACAGGACCCCGAGATGGAGCGTCGGAGGCGGCACTGGACGACTGCCCACTAGACCTGCAGGTGGACGGCGTTCTCCCGCCCTTTTTCGCTTCCAGCGATCCTCATCGACGGACAACCGCACGTAGATGCCTCAGGAGGGAGCGGGGTGCCACCGGCGACAAAGATCAAGAGAGGCTACCGCTAGAAATGGAGCGTTCGAGTCCCATCGGGGGTCAAGATGGAGCCTGAAGTCGCCATGACGACGACGTCGCAAGCGCCCAATTTGCCCAGCGACAGGGACACGCAGGCGGCATTGGCACTTGGCAGCAGTGTATCTACGATGGGCGTCACCACTGTCGCCGTGTACCGTAGTTCGGACCGTCACTATGGGGCTTGCATGGGTCAACGTAACTGTGGAGACGATGCCGAAGCCGCTACAGCACTTACATTTGGTAGCAATACTGGAGTAAATCTAAGTACCGTATGTTACCGTTGAACGCTTTGAGTACTCGTACTATTCATGACTCTGTGTAATTACACTGTATTCATCCCGCACTCGATATCCGATGCATTTTGCACGGTACCTTATCAGCACAGCTACGCTGCATTCCGCATGGCGGGCATTGAACCTGCACCGGTGGGTTCAAACTCCACCATACTAACATCACATACAACGATGAGTCGAACCACCCCATACAAAGCCTAGTACGTTCGGTCCCTTTGAACACTTCGAACATGGCCATACAAATAACAATATATTCGGTCCATCATATCCACCCAACAACGCTGATTTCTAGTACTTCATCATTCTAGATTCTGCGCTCAAGTGGAAAGATGGTTGATCGCAGGAAGGACGCGGATAATGTAGAGGTACGTGTTTTGGCTGTTTCGGCATCGTGTTGTTATGCTAGTGCTAATACGAACGGCTATGTATGGGTAGTTGCCAGGACCAACGAAGACGCATGCAAGCGATGGAAGGCGAATTTACGGATCGTCCAAGACGCTTGAAATGGTAGTGATGACATTGTTTCGGCCGTGCTGATGCTCATCGCATATATAGTCTTTGGCTTTGTGTAGCGCCGGTGAGCAACTGGAGTTCGACAATCTGTATCCAGTATTTGTGACCCCTTCTGGGCGAGAGCGGGTAAGTTCGTGTAGCTACGCAATAACGTTTGGCTAAAGCTAATCAGTGCCTACCTGTAGAGAACCGAAGCGAGATGTGGCACGTCGATCGACATAGACGACTTCATAATTGCACTGCCAGTGAAAGAGATGAACGACCTCTACGTGGCGATTTGTCGCGGTGAAGATGACCGTGCGCACAACTTTATCTGGATGATGCGTTGGCAGGAGACGTGCATGGAGCTGTCTGAGGTAAGCCAAAATGTGTATCGTGGCTGGTTACGGGTAATGATATCTATGTTTGTATTCGATATGAAAATGTAGATCACGCGACCGCAAATTCGGGCACGTCTAAAATGTATAAACTCCAACTTGTTGCGGTATCGCGAGGAGCAAGACGAACATATCGAGCGCTTTATCGCGATGGAGGCGGACCCTTCCACACCACACGACACCCTCATGAACCATTATAAGGAAGGCCTTGACTTGCAGAAACGCTACAACATAGTTGCCGATCTAGCCACAGCTATGGACAGAGTCGATATGCTGGCGGACCAACTCAAGGATCAAGCTCACTGGACATGCTCTTGCGAGAAGCGCGCATACCACCGCTCGCCCCAATGGCTTCAAGAGCAACCTCTCGACTTGGCACCACAAGCTCTAAGGCCGCGCTGGTTTTGGCCTCCCCGCTATCATGGGTGATATCCAGTTGATTCGCAGAGCAGGACGCTCCAAGGTGAAAACACGTTACTGAAGTTACTATGTCCTCCCCCTAGTAACAGAGCTATATGCAATTAAGTTGAATGTAATATCTCAAGTAATGTTTCATCTAGTGTGAATTGATAATTCTAACGAAACCCAAAGCTGTCTGAATACGGTGATCCTTTGCTCCAGCACGTATACCCATTCCGCCCACATCCACCAAGGCCACGGTCACCTCCATCGTGTACGAGACCCTGCTGTCGATGTCGCTTGCGACGCCGCTGACGCTACTACCGGCGGCAACCTGCGTGCGGACTGCCGCTGTCGTTGCGCTCGCTGCCCGAGCCGAATGCCACCGTCGCGTTCGTGACCATGCTAGCGGAGACGCCCCCGATCACATCCAACACGGCCACGGTCGCCGCGGAAGCCTCCGAGACCATGCTGTTGACGGCACACACGGCGGCGCTGCGGCCGCCGTTGTGCTTGCTGCCCGAGATGCCCGCAGTCATCGCGTGCTTGTCGCCGCCGTCGGAGACGCTCCGGCCAGGTCCAGGACAGCCGCCATATTCGCCAGCGTCGCATCGGAGACCACGGCGCCGCCGCTTCACAACTAGGAAAAGCCCCACATAATCCACAAGATGGCGCTGTGATCCACGGTACCGCTCTTACTAAAGTTTTGTTAGGGTGCTGTTCTCACGGTACTGCTTCCACTGATACTTTTGTCGATTCGCAGCGAATCACAGAGAACCAGTAAAATGATGCCTCACGTATCTTTTTGATCGAAAGGTCGCTTCAAACCTCCCATCACGTATACTTTTGATCAGTTGGCCTCGCAAACCTAATACAGCAAAATGATACCTCATGCATCATTTTACCCCGTTTTACTTAAAGTTTGTATGGTGTCCCTTCAAACAGAAATGCATGGCGTTAACGATAGGGTTAATATTCACGAAGATCATGGACGTGTACGAGATTCCTGGAGTGACCTTCGATCTGGCGGAAACTATCGCGGCCAAGACGGTGAAAGACCTCCTGGCAAAGTTTGTTCCTGAAGCCCGGATGAAAATGAAATGAAGGGAATCACCTTCCCGTCAGGAAAATACTTAACGGATAGCGCCAAATAGCGTACCCTTCCCGAATTGAATACCTCCTCTCAAATCTGATAGAATGTGCTCAGTATACAAAGCTATTGTACCTACGCCAATTTGTATACCTCAACCAAACCGTATAGAACGTTGAGTACTTATAATGTTCTTGAAATTTATGTGAAGTTTAGCATGTAAACACCTTTTGATTGGCTAAGAGATGTCTTAAAATTGAAAATCACCCATTATTTTCCGTGTAAGTATTACTTTGTCAAATACGGCAAGCAAGATCCGGTTATTTTTTTTATCTTTTTAAAGACCACAGTTTAAAAACTGACACTTGTATTCGGTACTGTTTGCATTTTGTGTAACTTTACGCAAAATTACCGTAAGGTACCCAAAGAAAAATGGTTTTGGTTGTTGGTCTAAGTTCTGCTTGCATCTAACGGCATGAGAGACGTTGTGAACCAACTCTGCGCAATCTATGGATGTCTCCATGGTTTGAAGACTGGTACATACGTTGGCAGGATGCCATCAAAGAGGTTTTGCAGAACGTAGCTAGCTCTACACACAATATTTCAGACTTGAATGCGTCGGAGCAACTTTGGTAGTATAACCCCCTTCCTATTTGTATATCTTTCTAGATTTGACAAGTGTTCAATTCAATAGTATGCGGTATACAAATTGGCGTTTTCCGTTAGCTACCGTTTTTGCCATCGGTGCAGTGTCTTGGAATCGAAGCACACACAGCTTGAACTCGTACGTACTTAAGTAATCGCAACGAGCGCTCGTACTGCTTTGGCCGCGCGTCACCTTCACTTTTTAAGCGCGTTCTACCTGTTCGCGCCATTCAAAATGGCGTAACGCAACGAGCGCGGCTATCAGGCTCCGAGATTGAATGTCTTATTTCAAGTGTGAATTATATGGCTTTCATTGGATAATCGAAAGTGTGCTCTATGATATTGTGCTTTGCAACCGGTTTTCCCTCCTAATTAGTGCACTAGATAGTGTTCGTACTTAGTGGTAAATCATAGTGGCTTTGAAGTCGTGTTTCGAAGCCAGCTTGGCTCGGAAATGGCACTTTCGGAAAGTGCCAAAAGGATGCTAATCCATGCTGGATGTGCTAAATCATGCAGGAGATGACATACGCGCGAGGAATTAAGTTTCAAGTAGATTGAAGCCTTTTTGTAAAAGTCTAAGTAGGTGAATGCATCAATTTGCAAGTAGATTGCCACAGTCAAAAATAACGTTTTATCATATCCGAATTGAACGTTAATTTTATGGGCAAAAATAACTGTTTTCCAGGGCCAAGTAATATCGTACGAAATTACCTTTTTAGAGTAAGAGTGTCGTAATGCTAATGTGTAAGTTTACATCATCGCTTCGTAGAATTGTATGCAGGCAGACCAAACTAACGCACTTGGTTCTGTATTAAAACTTCGTCGGCCGCGCGTCTGGTAAGTACAGTTGGGTTTGTTGAAAAGTCTGAAAGCAACAACCTACGACTCGTAAGTTTTAAAACGGACGGGCATTCTGAGCAGGCCACGCCTCTGTTAAGTACTCTTACGTTTATTGTAACGAACGACAGCAATAACTTACGACTCGTAAGTCTTAAAACGGACGGGCATTCCGAGCATCTCACTTCGCGGTATTCTGAGCTTCTTGTCGTACATTTTGAAACGAACGTTCATACTTTTTTTCAGTATCTTGGGCCGGAGATTAGCAACACATCTCTGTAGGAGTTTCATAACCACCTCGTTTAGCCCGTGTTCTCTTAGCTCGCGAGTTTTCACTGCAGGGCTCATTCGTCTTTTTGTCGGATACCCACCCAACTACACGTCTAAACACCTCTACCACCTCTCCTGTTTCGGTCACCCGGACAATGTCTTCGCCCATGATCACCTCATCCGCTGTCGAAGAAGCGGACATCGCCGAACTCATCGAGATGCGCATGCTACGACCTGAGCTAGATGTCGGCTTGGATCCCCTCGACCCCTCTTCTTACGGCGTAGTTTCCGACCATGGGAACAACGTTGCGTCTGTGACGCTTGAGTCGAAAAAGGCTCTGCTGCAACGCTGTCGCGAGTTTGCTCGAGTCCGTGGCTTTTCCATTCGCGTGGCCAACAACAGCTATCACTCTCGTCGTCAAGAAGGAAACGCCAAG